GGACTTCTGTCTCAACATGCTGTCCTTTAAAAAAATTAAATGTTCCAAAGACTTACCAGGGAAGTGAGCCATAATAGATTTCCAGTAGGGAAGGGACAACTTTTTGAGCAACTCCCATGCTTCCATCTCAGCTGCACCCTTTTCTTGGGTTCTTTCCCTTTGCATGCCAGTTGGATGTTATGATACCATCCCTATGATAGTCAGCAGACCTCCTGCAATTCCACTCCATGCAATTCAAAATTAAAACATTTTTCCACATATTCTTAATTCAACTAGGAAAGGAAATAATTTCACAGGGAGTTTTCCTAAATAGAAGAGTAAAAGGAAGCAAGGATGGATAGAGAAGAGCAGTTGAATTTTTTTTTAATGCAAGATGCACAAAACCAATAAAACTTACAAAGAACAGGTTTATGATTTTTTTTTTGAGAGCGATAAAAACTGACTTAAATTTTTGGGAGTTTTTTTTTTTTTTTTTTTTTTTTTTGCTATAGGGTACATGCGTTCACCAGACAGACAGAGAGAGACAGAGAGACAGAAAGCAGGAAATCACCCCCCAGGGGGGATGGCCACGCCGCAATCCCTTCTCCTCCATTCTCCTCTCGGGATCCTGGGCATGCATGCACACGTGCCTGGCGTGAGTTTAAGCCACTGGGTCCGGGACTCGAACCGTGGTTGACTAGGTGGGAGTCCAGTGACATAGTCATTATGCTAACTGCTGGTCCCAGGTTTATGATTTTTTTATACCAGTGAATTAACTTGTCAAGTTTATGATTCCAAGTTCTATTCCTCTTCTTCTACAAAAGCTAGGAACACTATTTTTATCCCTAGTGTCTCATCTCTTTTATTCCTTCCTCCTACTTCCACCCTTCTGTTGGGAGACAAATCTCCATAGATCTCTTGCATTTCTGTATATCTGTGAGCAGAGGCACTGACTGCCTTTGTTCCAGATTTATCTTTGCAAGGATGCTTACATAGCAAACATCCTGGAAAACAGGGATATTTCTACCCTCTGGAACAAAAGTAACCGTGCTTACTCTATTATAAAATATGTGGGTCCCCTAAACTCGGGGTTCCATTTCTGTAACACAACCCATTGCATGTGTAGGTGTCTTATGAAACTGATGCTTGGAGAACTGGTGCAGAACGTGATAATCTGTCTAGTTCTACTGAGATGTAATAAATAGTCGTCTGTCTCTGATTCAAGAGTCTCACGTCTTCCACCAGCTTCAATGACATTGTGCCAGGCTAATTTATTAACTTGTAAATAG